TATGTATCATTTTAATGTCACACCTCTATAAGATCAGAAATATTAACCCACTTTACAGAAGAGGAAATGGAGACTCAGAGAAGTTAAATAACTTACCCACCCTGAGGTTCCTTCCAGTCAAAGGAATCTGACCCCAGAGTTCATACTCTTTCCACCACACTATGCCACCTCCTACTCCTATACCTAAAAGTGAGCATCGAAGGGGTAAATAACCTTGATACAATTCACATGGAAGTTCGGGGGACTTGTCTTGTCGGCATTCATGACATCAAGGTCTTGGAATTTTTGCTGAACTCAAAGCACGGTGATACAGCTCCTAAAAAAGCTTGATGTTGGGCTCCATCAATAGGGAGAATAGCAACCAAATTGAAGGAGCCACTTGTCCTACTATGCACCGTATCCGTCAGTGACAGGGGGAGGATGTGGCCAGTTCCAGATATCAGGTTTTTTTTAAACAGCCCTCTTGAGATATCATTACGTACAATAAAACGCGTATGTTTAATGCATGCAGTTTGTTAAGTTTTGGCTCATGCATAAACTTCGAGTTCACTACCAGAATCAAGTGAACATGCCTGTCACCCCAGTTCCCTTGTTTCAGTTTGTAATCCCTTCCTCCTGCTCCTCCCTGCCTCCATGTCCCCAAGCAACCACTGAGTTGCTTTCTGTCTCTGTCAGCTCGTTTGCATTTTTAAGAATTGTACACAAATGAAATAATATAGTACGAACTCTTGTTTTTTATCCAGCTTCTTTTACTCAACATAATTATTTTGAGATTCATCGATGTACACTGTCATTGTGTCAATAGCTGTTTAAGTGTAACGGTAGGATTTTTGTTTTGCTCCACAGTATTCTACAGTATGGACATACCACAGCTGATCCATTCACTGTTGAGAGACATTTGTGTTGTTTTCAAATCTTAGCTATTACAGATAAAGCTGCCATAAACGTTGGCCTTTGAATGGACATGTGCTTTCATTTATCTTGGGTAAATATTTTGCAGTAGAATGGCTAGGTGATATGAAAGATCTATGTTTAACTTTTTTGGAAACTGTCAACTGTTTTCCAAAGTGCCTATTCTATTTAATGTTCCACCAGCAGGGTTGGGGACTTTTCGTTGCTCCACATCCTGGCCAATGCTTGGTATGGTCTGTCTTTTAAATTTCAGCTTTTCTGATAGGTGTGTAGTGGTCAGACATCACTTTGTAAGTGAATCCTACTATAAACCAAAAAGTGTCTCGGAGAAAATGCTAGGAGGGGAAGGATCTGGAAGCAGGTAATGCTTCCATTACCTGCTTCCATCCTGCCCCCATTACCATGGGTAATGGGGGCAGGATGGATATTTGGCTTGGAGAAAGGTGGTCATCCTAAATATTTGGAAGAGGGATTAAATGTGCATTGTTTTAGAAGATTCTCTAGAACCCAGAGGAAGAAACAGGCTTTGCTCTATCACAGGACTGTCTGATACAGCGTCTCAAAGGCAGACAGGCTTTTGAGGAAGTGAAGTCCCTGTCACTGAAAGTGTCCGAGGAGCAGAATCTGGAGAATTCCCCTCTCAGGTGTGGTCACTTCAATTCTGTCCACAGTGGCTGGGCACCTACTGTGCTCTGCAGGAGGGCAGGGTCAAGAGGATACAAAAGCAAGGGTTATCATGCCTTTGCCTAAATCACACCTGTGATTAGGGCTCTAGCTAAGGTACCTGCCAGGGTGATGGGAGGGAGAGGGAGGTGGAGCTCCCCAGAGGAGGTGACATTGCAGCTGGGTCTCAGATGTGCAGTGGGACACTATGAGAGAATATCTAATCACAGTGGGAGCTGTACTAAATGACCTTCCTGTTTCTAAAATTCTAAAATTAGGTTGCATTAAAAACAACCTAAGGCCGGGCGTGGTGGCTCACACCTGTAATCCTAGCACTCTGGGAGGCCGAGGCGGGAGGATTGCTCAAGGTAAGGAGTTCGAAACCAGCCTGAGCAAGAGTGAGAGCCCGTCTCTACCATAAATAGAAAGAAATTATTTGGCCTACTAAAAATATATAGAAAAAATTAGCCAGGCATGGTGGCGCGTGCCTGTAGTCCCAGCTACTCGGGAGGCTGAGGCAGGAGGATCGCTTGAGCCCAGGAGTTTGAGGTTGCTGTGAGCTAGGCTGATGCCACAGTGCTCTAGCCCAGGCAACAGAGGGAGACTCTGTCTCAAAAAAAAAAAAAAAAAAAAAAAAACAACTTAAAAGTCCATCAGTAGGGGCCTAGCAATATAAGTTAAGGACCATCCTTAGAGTGAAATAGTATTCAGCTGAAATACAACCTAGGATGTTCTTTACATATTGACACAGAATGATCTACAAGATATATTAGGTGCAAAAAGCAAGGTCCAGACACTGTGTGTGGTGGCTACCATTTGAATTTTTTAAAAGGGGTCAGGTCAGTATGAACACACACTTTTATTTGCATAATTTGTCTCTGGGCCACATAACACACTAGTAATATCAGCTGTCTTTGAGACAGGTCTGTGGAATAAGCTGTATCTTACACACCCTTCTTCGCTGTTAGGATTTTATCTATATAAATGGATTGCCTATTTTAAAACACATTAAAATCAAACCAAAAACACCATTTTAAAAGAAATTAAAGGCCCCTCCCTAGTTTAGCGTATCACCCCGGCGTACGCCCCTCAGCCTTTTCCTGCGTCCACCCCTCCGTTACACCAGGCTGTGGACACCTCCCCAGGGAGCCCCTGCCGCACTCCTGCCCCCCTAAGGCATGTGCCATCTCAACCTGGTATTTTGTAAAAATTCGGATTCTGACTCAACAGCCCGGGGTGGGCCCGCGAGTCTGCGCCTCGGGCCGCGCGGCCAGGCCAGGCCGAGGCTGCGGCCCGCTGTGCAGGAGGCCCGAGCTCTGCGCGCTCACTTTCGGCTGCGCACCCGCAGGTCTGGAGACGCCGCCGGCCGGAGAGGAGGAGGGACGTGAGGGGAGAGTCTGACAGAGCGTGAGGCACGCCCCTCCGATCCGATCTGAGCCGCAGCGCTGCCAACAGAGTCGGAGGACCCGGCGCCGCCCTGGTTTCCACCGCCGCCCACCACTGTTTTGGCTGCAGCTCAGCCTGGCTTCCCCGGCCGCCTCCACGGAGGCCCAGACGGCAGGTGGGACAAGATGGCGCCGGGGGCGGGGGCCGCGGGGAACGCCAGCTGGGGCTCCCGTGCTGTGCCCGCCGGAGCAGCCAGCCTAGACTTCGCAGCTGAGGAGACGCTTTCCCGTTTCTGCCAGGCTCGCGGTGGCTGCGGGCCACCCCCCGTCTCACGCCCGCCCTGAAAACTCAGAAGCCAAACCAAACCTTCCACAGCAAACAAAACCAGACAGCACTTGGCACGGCCTCTTTCCCTCCGAGAAAAGCAGACGTCTTGGGTCCAGGTGTGGCAGGGACCACCTGCCCTGGTGGAAAGCCGATGGCCCTGCAGCGGCTCCTCACCCGCCCAGGATGGGGACTGGCCGGGGAACCCAGAAGCCAAGCTGCTGAACACCCCGCTGAACCCCTTGCCCCCCGGGACGGGGTAGTTTTCCAGGCCACACATGTGGGTTTCCCTGACGAGGCACTTTTCTGTATGACAGAATCCTGCTCTTGGTCACTGCCAGGGGAAAACGAGTGTGGAGTGGGGGTGGGGGAGGGGAACCAGCAAGTTCATCCCTTAGGGCTGGCCTCACCCTGAGCTGGAGCTGGCGGGGGCCTACAGTGGCCGCTGGGAGGGTGGCCAGGAAAGGTGACCCCTCCCCGCACATCGTCCCCACTCGCCTGTGACCATGCCTGAAATCGCACCATGTACATTCATTCTTTTGGGATGAGAAATTGCATCGCTTCAAATGTTTCCACCCACAGGAGAGGTAATACACCAAGCTGTTATCAGTCATCTACACCTTAATGTGAATTAGTTGATCAGTCTTGGAATGGTACACCTGGAATGGGGCCTCGTCCAACCCCCCTTTTCACAAGTCAGGAAATTGAAGCCCCGGAGTGGGAGGTGATGGACTCGAGGTCAAGGTCAGGCAGCAAAGTGGAGACCAAGTCAAGGGCAGGAGGAGACATAAGGGATGACTTGTAATCAGGTGACTGAGGCAATGAGGAAAACCAACATAATCGAGGGGAGTGGGGGTACCTTCAACTTTCACTTTCTAGACTAACTCAGAGCTGTACCCAGCTGTCCCCCGAAAAGAAGGCAGGAGGCAGAGCCAGCAGTAGGTTCCCACCTTGCCCACCCTTGAGCATAAAATGCCTTTGAAGTCTCCTGTTTTATTCTAAAGTTCATTTAAATGCAACATTCTATTCCATAATATATACTGGTTTGTTTTCACATCAAGATAATGGTGAGACTTGTTTAATGAGATACCATTTTCCATTTACCAGACAAGCCAAGATCAAAGTTTGTGTTTCTGGGGAGGGAACACAGACAGCTGGGACAGGGATGTGGAGACTTCTCACTGCATGTTCTTCCTACCTTTTTAATTTTTTTGCCATCTGCAAATATTACCTAGACAAAAAATTCATAAAACTTAAAAGTTAAAAATGTGGGTTGGTTGTGTCATGGGGAAACCAGCATTCCCGCTCTGATAGGAGACAGTGCAGAAAGAAATATCCGAATGTTGGACAACTGGGACATTTATCCAAATGTTAAATATGCACACCTGTGACTCAACGTAACCTAGCAAGTGGCAGAGTGGATTTGTACCAGGGCTCATGTGTCTGAGCCACCCCACTGCACTGCCGCTCTGGACCACGGATGGCATGTTAGCTACCATGCATCAAGCACCTGCTCTTTGGTAAGTGCTGTGCAAGTTACTTTGAAGTGTTTTCTATGAGGTCCTCTCTCTACACCCAGTCCTGTGTTGAGTGTGGAAGGGTTGGGGGATGTCATAGAGAGAACTGAATAAGAACACAGAAGAAACCATCCTCACCCTTAAGTTGACAATGTGTGTAAGAAGATAACAACAACCAATCTCACATTTGTGCAACACTTCACAGTTTTCAAAGCCCTTTCATTATCTCATTTAATCTGTGTGACCATCTTGCCAAATAATTTTCATGATCTCTGCTCCAGGATGAGGAAACCAAAGCTCTCCAAGTCACAAGGGGCTGCCCCCAAGATCATCTAACCAGCCAGGGGAAGAGCTGGAACTTGATCTCAGGTCTCATGATTCTCCTATGCCAAGGGGGATGACACGCCACCGAGACAGCCTGGCTCGGTGGTTTCCAATCTGCTCCAGCACGAGGACTCCTTTTTCCCTTTGGAAGTTTTTGCAGCCCTGTAAATGAGAGGAGCTGTTATTTTGGGCTTTGGTCAACTGGGAAAATTCACAGCAACAAAAAATGATCAGGGCTTCAGCACCGTTGAAATGAGCAGCACAGTTACGCACCAGATTACTACTTGCACAGTGAGCTGGTAGTATTTGAAGCGCAGACAGAAAGAGAGACTTCTTACAGCAACTCTGCAGCCCACAAACAAGTAACAATGAGCTGAGACTATACTACCAGAGTAGCTCAGAGAAGGACACACCCTTAAAGTCTGTCTTCTTAACCAGGGCACAGGGGGAAAAGAGCACTTAAAGTCAATGGGGGTAGCAAAAAAAGGAAGTAGAGGAACAGTGGGAGGGAAGCAGCTTGGCTGAGGGAGAGCCACAGGGTATGTGGGTGCATTTGTATTTCTTTTAATGGGAAGGGTTGATTCTAGACGTTCATTTGAACACTTGGGGTGGAGGGGACCGCAGTGCAGGGAGTGGTCTAGGGAGGAGATAATGCAGGTCTAAATCCCTTATCTGATGCTTTTGGAGTCAGATGTGTTTTGTAACTCACAGTCTTTTGAATTTTAGAAAAGCCATACCATATATTTTGTAATGCCCCTAGCAGAATCTGGGATAGCATCCTATAATCAAACACATTACTATTCCTGCAAGCTGGGCATGTCTGCTGTCCCAGCTACTCGGGACGCTGAGGCTGGAGGATCGCTGGAGCCCAAGGAGGTCAACCTGAGCAACATAGCAACACCCCATCTCTAAAACAAAACAAAGCAAAAAACCAAATTCCTGCAAAAAAAAAGTATATGGGTAATTAGGTAATCATACTAGTTGGGAATAAAGAAAGACTGTAAATTGCCCTGCGTTAGTTCAGGTCAGGTTTTCTTGGCAAATGAGTTTTGTTTTCAGAGCTGTTAGACATTGGGAGTTGTAGATGAGGCATGGTGGACTTAAAATTAAATAGATGCCCCCTTGGACCAGCTGGAAATCTAAGCTAAAAGACAAGCATCATCTCATCTAACCCTATGCCAACACTCCGAGGTTATTACCCCCAATTACCAGTGGAGAAAACTGAGGCTGAGAGGCATTGAGTGACTTGCCCAGTCACTTAGCTGGTCAGTGGCAAAGCAGGGACCAGATTCCAAGTCCCTATGATTTCAAAACCAGTTTCCTTTCTCTACCTGGGCAGGAGAAGCCCATTCTGACAAACTTACAACTTTGTCCAGGTCAACCACTCTTTAGGAGTGAAATTATCCATCAAGGCTGTGACAGTGAGATCTCACGTAGTACTTTTTTTTTTTTTTTGAGACAAAGTCTGTCATCCAGGCTGGAGTGCAGTGGTGTCATCATAGCTCACTGTAACCTCAAACTCCTGGGCTCAAGCGATCCTCCCACCTCAGCCTCCCAAGTAGCTAGAACTACAGGCGCACCCCACCATACCCGGCTAATTTTCTATTTTTTTTTTTTTTGTAGAGACGGGGTCTCACTGTTGCCCAGGCTGGTCTCAAACTCCTGGCTTCAAGCGATCCTCCTGCCTCAAGCTCCTAGAGTGCTGGGATTACAGGTGTGAGCCACCCCCCGCCAGGCCCTCTCACCTATTACTTTTTAAAGTATTTTGGGTGTCACAGCTTCTGTGGCTAACTAAAAAAAAAAAAGAAAAAAGCTCTTTTGGGTGGCTGCTCCCTGCACCATACCATTCCCAGGGCACCACGTCCCAGCTGAACAGAACAGGCAGCCTCCATGCCCTGGGCCTGGTGGTCACTGATTTTCCGCTTTCCCGAATCCGCTCAAGGCAGTGCACTGCCGCAGTCAGCGCACGCTGTCAGAGTCTGCACACGCATCCTAGCTCCGCAGCTCACGAGCTGCGCAACCCTGCTAGACCTTATCCTCTCGCGGCTTTGTTTCCTCACCTGTAAAATGGGGCGCTAATAGCGCCCGCTTTGCTGCTGCTGTGCAGGTTAAGCGGATGAGCATAGGTGAAGGCCTGAGAACAGAGCCCTCCTACAATACGCACTCCATACGCTTCCTCTGAAAAGACTTTTCTGCCCCAACCCTTCTGTACCCTGCACACCTGGCTGTCAGGGTTCTCACACCACTCAATTCCACCACTTATTTGTGTGTCTGTTTCTTGCTATTAAACTGCAGCACCTTGTAAGGAGTGGCTGTGCTTCATCCACTTCTGTCCCCAGCATTCAACACAGCCGCGTACACTCATTAAACGCCGACTGACTGACGGACTGAATGAATGGATGGATGAATGAATGAATGAAAGGGCTCTGCTGCAAAAGCTTATAGTTTTGGTTTTGGAGAAAGTCATCAATGTGAAAAGAAACAGCATGATTCTCATCTGCTACAGGCAGACCCTAAAACCCTACTTTCCGTAAAGTTGTGGGGAATGGGATTTGCAAAAATCACGTAAGTTGCCATCCTAGCGGCCGTGGAGCTGACAGTCTGTGCCGGGTGATGGGCTGTGCCCATGTGAATAATAGCTGCGGAGCAAGGCGGTGGCACATGCCAGCTGAGTGACAGTCAGCGATGCTGAGAGTCCAGAGCTGGGAGAGGGCAGAACAATATGAGATGAGTCACAAATGTGCATGTCATCCTTGCTCAAGGTAAAATAGGATTGTTGGGTAACAATAGGAACAATGTCACGAGGCAGCATGAGCCGAGTGCATGCCTCTGAGTGGTGGGCACGGCCAGGGTGTGGGGTTCAGAGGATGAAGAGAAAGGAAGGCTTTGTGCGGGAGGCCGACGCGAGCCTGGGGAGACAGTGGCCTCTGAGGCCGGAGCGAGGGCCCCGCCAGGGCCCATCTTGGCTTAGAACCTCCGGAGTCCAGAGGCGGCTCCTGCCTTCCTGCGCCGATCTCACCCTGCACTGTGAGTGCTCTAGCTCCGGGTTTCTGGTAACTTTTTTATTGCTATTATATAAGTATTATGCTTTCATTGTTTTAAAATAAGAAAGGAAGGGAGAAAGGGAGGGAAGACAATACAGTAACCCAGAGAGAAAAAAAAACAACTTATAATCCCATTTTTAAAAAACAGTATTTTGGCGCCTGCTCACCTACCAGCCCTTCATCCACCTTCCGCCCACACACCTTCCCTCGCCCGCCCTTCCTCCTATCCGGCCAGCCACCCACGCCTCCATCCCCTCCGTCTGCATCAGACTTCTTAGTTACAAACAACAGAATCTGCAGAAAAGGAACTGATTAAAAAATATTAAGAGGATCACAGACTCCAAGGCTGGGCGTGGTGGCTCACGCCTGTAATCCCAGCACTCTGGGAGGCTGAGGCGGGAGGATTGCTCGAGATCAGGAGTTCAAAACCAGCCTGAGCAAGAAAGAGACCTCGTCTCTACTATAAATAGAAAGAAATTAATTGGCCAACTAATATGTATAGAAAAAAAAGAGCCGGGCATGGTGGCGCATGCCTGTGGTCCCAGCTACTCGGGAGGCTGAGGCAGGAGGATCGCTTGAGCCAGGAGTTTGAGGTTGCTGTGAGCTAGGCTGACGCCACGGCACTCACTGTAGCCTGGGCAACAGAGTGAGACTCTGTTTCAAAAAAAAAAAAAAAAGAAGAAGAAGAAAAGAGGATCACAGACTCCAGAAGGGAAAACAGGCGTAGAGGCTCAGCACTCAGGAATGACGCCCCCGCCACCCAGAAGGACTTTTCCAGCAAATCTGCCGTCGTAGCTACCTCAGCAAATTCCCTCACACCAGCCCCCTTCAACACTGCTGGAAGCTGAACTCCAGATCACCCCTCCCAGTGCTCGGGGACAGAGGCTTCCTTCGGCCCCCTCCTCACTCAAGACACCTGCTTCCTCAGTTGCTCCTCTTCCGAACCAAAATCTCCTGTGGGTGCGTCAGACGAGTAGAACCTTGGTCACATGCCTACACCTTGTGTTCCAAAGTCATCAGGGAATGTAAATCTCTGGCCTTTACTTTGGGGAAGTGGGATTTATGAGATGGAAAAAACTCACCAATAGGAAGTTGATCAAAAGATGCTGGTGACCATACGCATGGCAAATGGCCCCTACACTATGGCTGAGTTGGGGCTCTTTTTCTCCTTATAAATATGGAATGATACTGATCTAATCATTCTCTGACTCTCCAGTGCCTAGCTCAGTGCCTGGCACACAGTAGGAACTCAATACACGAGGAAGGAAAGGGAGAGGGAGGAGGCAGAGAGATTACACATTTACACGCTGCTTGGCTAAGCCGGGCTGAATGAAGACTTGCTGTTTTGAGTACAGAAAACTCCCCGGCCTCTTAGGGATTACGAAGGAAGGGGACTCCATTACCCAGCATGGACGCCCAGAGCTGTCCCCTCGCCCCTGCCCCACACACGTGTGCTCGCCTCACACCTCTGCCCGCCGGCATTCGGCGTCTGGACCACTGGAAATGCTGGGTGTGTCTTGTCATTCACTTTCTCTGCAGCCCACCTGTTGGCTTAATGTCACTCAGGCTGTCACTGAATCTCCTCCCCTCCCCAATCCCGGAAGAGTTTTGTGAGGTTTTCCTAGTCTCCAAAGGCCAATCTGCAAACAGCGGCTGCAAAGGCGACACTGGGGCCTCCCGGGGTGGCCGTGTTGCCTAAGATCGCTGGCACCGACCTTCGAGTGGGTCTGTTAAAATCCGTCTTGTTCTTCATGGTCAAGGGAAGCCATTACAGAGATATAATATGGGTCCTGTCATTCAGAAATTTATACCAAAGGGTGTTTCCTTTTGTTTTTAGAAATGGGGTCTCACTTATTGCCCAGGCTGGCCTCAAACTCCTGGGCTCTAGTGATCCTCCTGCCTCAGCCTCCAGAGTAGCTGGGACTACATACCTGCCACTGGCCAAAAGCTTACCCCGTAGTTTAATTGGTGAGTGCAGGACATACACACTTAAATGCCCAGGCAGCTCTACGGGCGCCAAATGCAGTAGGAAAAGTAAATCCCCCCAAGGTTTAGGGAAGGTCGGTCGGCATAGCTGGGCTGATGAGAAGGTGCTGGACAGAGGAGGGTGTTGAGGGATGAATGAAGTAGCGACTTTGGAGCTGGGGCAAATCTGCATCCTTCCCTACCCCTCCAAACCAGGTCCGATCCCCTGTGGCTCCATCACATACCCTTCCTCATCAAGGCGGAATCCCATCTTGGTGATGGCCTGATCCTTGTCTGCCGCCTCCATTGTACAGTGAGCTTGCCACTGTGCCCTAGGACAGCGACGGGGTGGGCAGAGGCCAGTGAAGACCAGGTCAGGGCGAGGCTGCAGGGAGGGAGAGGCCGAGACCGATCACAAAGACAGTCTGCAGCCTCCCCCTCCCCTCCCCCAGGGAGGCGCAGTGATGCGGTTCGGGAGAGTTCCAATCCAATTAGCGCCCGCCCTCCCTCGCGGGCCGGCCACCACCCCCTCCCCGAGGTGCGGGCAGGTGGGGAGGGGTGCGCGGAGGTCTGAACATCCTGACCCAGCTCCGCCTGGCAGCACAGCTGGCTCGCCGCTAGCGAGAGGCTGCTATGACAGCGCCGTTTCCAGGCGACTGTTCTGGGGAATGGTCTGTTTTGGCAACCGGAGGGCCCCTGGGTAAGGGGGGCCGCGACGCCGCGTCGTTTGCATGGCCCCTCCTCCCTCGCAGGCCGCGCGGCCCGGCCCCTGCCCGCCAGGCCCGCCCTGCGCCCCGCTCGCCCGCCCGCTCGGGCGCCGCGCTGCCCCCGCCTGGTCCACGCCGCGAGGTGGAGGCTGCACGCAGAGCTAGGGCATTTCCGGAAAGGCTGGCGCCCTAGGGAAGTGGGGAATGATGCTTGGGGACAAAACACTGGAGTGGGGGAGGGGAAATGAAATAAAATCTTTGCAAACCAGAGTCAAAGTCACATGGCTTGGTCAGAATGCATCAAAATGCATTCTGGACAACCGTGTTGGCTGACAAAATGTTTATTTAGGTGAACCCACAGCTAAGCCCTTGGGAGGTGCTCAGAAAATGTCGTTTAGATCATCACATTGCAAATATTTCTTACCTAGGAAAATCAGGCAGGGATATTCTTAGGAAACATTTTCAAACACTTGCAGCCGGACTTGGTGACATAGGATTATGTGAATTTGTTGGAAGAAACCGAAAGAGAAAATAGACAACTCTTGTAGTACCCCCCTCTCCTGCACACGCTCACCCCACCCCAGCCACACACACCAGCCAGTGCATGATGCCAACCGAGATACCAGGGCTCTGACATGCGGACTGACATTAACTGCCCAAGGACACATGCCCTGGGCTGGAACCCGAGAGGGGGTTGGGCAGGGGCAGGTCAAGCCAGCTGAGCGATCACATTTCCCTGGCAGCTGTCCAAGGGGCAGCTCCCAGCTGCACCTGTTTGTGGGGCGATTTGCTTTTATCAGTATTGACACAGCAGCAGGGCCAGGGAATAGCATAGTAATAAATAAATGAGAGAGAGAGAGAGAGAGGGAAAAAAAAGGCCGGAGCCACCGAGGCGAGGCAAAAATGCTGAGGTCTTTTTTTGCTTGTATGTCAGCGCATTCAATCCAGTTTCCCCACCCCTGAAATCTCTGAGGATCACGAAGCAGGCTTGGCATGGGAGCTCTGGGTCTTAAAGAGATAGAATTGCAGAGTCGGAAGCACTTTAAGATCCTTTTGTGCCAGGCGTCCCTAACCAACGGATCTCAAGGTTACTTGCTACCCTCACGTGCCCCCATGGCTTGTTAGAAACCTTAGCATGACTGGAGTTTCTTTTCCACTCTGCCAAGTTTAGCATCAAGGACACAGTATGATTAAAGTGCAGATTTTGGAGTTAGTCAAACCTAAAATCAAATCCTGGCTGTGTCCTGCTGTGTGATTTGGGGCATATTAACTAACCACTCTGAGCCTCAATTCCTCTCCCCTAAAAGTGGAGAAAATAATATCTATTGTTGCAAGAATACAAGAGCTGATAACAGGCAAAGGCCCAAGATAATTCCTCAGTGTATGTTCACTTGTTTGCTATCATTTCCTATCTACATCCCTCAGCTTTCTTGCCAGGCTTTGGAAAAAATGCAAAACAAAACAAAACCAAAAAAAATCTGGGGAATCTGATTTATTCCAGAAATGGGAGAGGGGAAGCAAGAGCCTGACACTGTCCTCACCCCCCAAACAGCGCTGATGTGGCCCTCGGTTTCTGTAGCCTTGCTGCCAGTCCTCGGGGGGCTGCAAGCTGACTCACCTCTGTCCTAGTACAGTGTGGGACAGTGAGTAGGATGCAAACAAACCTGTTCATCAGAAGCCACCTGACCAAGCCCAGAGATAAACTGCATGTGTAAAAATTACTAGCAATGAGTCACTGCATGTTTCAGATATGGAGGTAGGTCTGCAGGGGGCAGGCTAGCGTACCAGCTATACAAATGGTTTCAGGGCTCTAACTCCAGCCCCGACACCCAGCAGTCTATGCTGTGTCAGGTTATCCTACCTGCACAGTCCTGCTTTCCTTGTCTGTAAGGTGGAGATGATGCCCCAGAAGCTTGTTGTGAGAACCAAGTGCATGAAAAGCATGTGGTGAGTGCCTGACGCAGAGAAAGTGCTTGATCACATTAGCCCTTGGGATCATTACTTTTAGATGAATGAGGCCAGGGACTGTGTCATATTCATCACCCCAGATCCTCAAAGCCTGGCATTTGGTAGAGCACAGTAACATTTGATGAATGAATGGCAAGGCCCTTGCCCTCCAGAAGTTAAAATCTACCGGAGAAATATGAGACCTAGACTGCCCATGCCACTCAACACGTGGGAGACAGCAGAGGGTTAAAAGCCATTCTGCCAGTCCCCAAGCCCCAGAGGCAGGCAGTCCCTTTGATCCCTCAGTTTCATCTATGCAGGATGCTTTCAAGAGAGGAAAACAGGAAGTATCCCTCATAGCCCTGCTTGCTCTGTGTGTGTGTGTGTATGTGTGTGTGTGTGTGTGTGTGTGTGTGTGTGTGTGTGTGTGTGTGTGTGTGTGTGCTTTAAATGGTGGGGAGTGGGAGGAGGATGGTCCTTTGGGTCACATTTTGCCAGGAAGTCAGCCTCCTTCCTTTCAAATGCTGGGACTTCCAAGGGGGCAGATAAATAGCTTCTTGCTCAATGCAGAGAGAAAGATGTAGCCCAGAAAGGGCGGGCCAGGCTGACAGGTTGGGGTTTTTAGGGGACCACATTGCTGTCACTAGATTGCAGGTAGTTTCCAAGCGTGTGATCCTTTGCTTTCATCCATACATTCACTCGCTCGCTCGCTCACTCACTCACTCACTCAATGTTGACTAAGTGGCCTGGCTGTGGGCTGGACCCTGGGGTGATGCTTGGTGTCTAGTGTCCAGGGTATGGACAGACCAAAGAGACAAAGGACAGTGAGATCAGAGAAGATGGTGTGAACGCAAAAAAGTCAGAGCACTCCAAAGGAGAAAACAGCAACAGGTACGTGAAGGCAGTTGCAGGAAAGAGAAACGAAAAAGAACAAAAGGAAGAACCCAAGGAAGGCTAGTGTACAGGAAAGAGAAAAAGCAAGCTCATAAGAATTTGCAGCCAAGCGCAGTCAAGGCCTCATAATAGAACTGCATGGAGGAGAAAGCCATAAGCTCCAGGGACACACAAGGATGACAGGGGCGGATAGGGACAGGAAGGAAAATAATAGCTTAAGACTGCAGATCTGATGCCAGCCTGGCCATCCCCCAAAAGAGAGCAGCATTTGCTAACTCTGGGTGTGCTAAACTCATACCGAAATGTTTCACTTAATTGTTAATAAATTCAGTTCTACATTTGCCCATGATGGACATGAGGGAACTGTCTAGGGAGGTGGAAATATTCTATATTGTGACAGAGGTATAGGTTACACGGGTGGGCCCATTTGTCAACATTACACTTAAGATTTCTGCAAGTCAGTGTATGTAAATTCCACTAAAAAAAAAAAAAAGGACAATAAAAACTAACCGTAAAGCTGGGCTGGTGGTAGGCACCTATAATCCCAGCTACCTGGGAGGCAGGAAGATGGCTTGAGTTCAGGAGTTTGAGACCAGCCTGGGCAACATAGCAAGACCCTGTCTCGAATTAAGAAATTAAAAAAATTTTAATTTAATTAAAAAAAAAACCCTCAAGTGGCATAAGGGAATGGAGGTAGAGACCAAACAATAAAGACAGACATTGATGATTGTTGAAGTTGGGGGACAGATACATGGGAGTCTATTATATTCTATTGACTTTGAATTTGTTCAAAAATTTCCATAATAAAAGTTTTTTAAAATTGTCCGTAATGTGTCACTGTTGTCCCCAAGCAAATCGTTTACGGGTTATCAGGAAGGCAGCTGAGACATTATCTAATCCAGTCTTCCTGTCTAGATGAGGAAATTGAGGTGCACCTTGACTTGTCCAAGGTGTTCTCAGATATCAAGTGGCATAGCTGACGCTGGAATCTCAGGTGGAGCAGCACCCTTTGACCTTCACCCGCCCACTGCTTGTGGGCAGTGAGCTCCGAGCAGGTCTTGGGCTGAAAGTGGAGTTTGCTCCCTACCTTGAGTTGCCTTCCCAGTCCCCAGGCCCAGGTCTTGATGTGCAGGGACGCTGGGAGGGCTGGGGGTTCTAGGGAGCAAACTGCTTTGCTCTCTACTCTTTAGGTTCTCAAAGGGAATCCTAAGTTTGCGGAGACTCGATTAGGTCTCCTAGCTTCCACTTCCCCAGGTGGGCGAACACCCACACAGTTAAAGGAAGATTTCCAGTAACCAAGAATGGAAAGTAGAAGGGAAGACTCCCAGCTCCCGGGCTAACAGGTGCTGCCCTAGGGCAGTCAGTTCGCCTCTCCTACTTTGGTTCCCTCGTCTGTAGTAAGGGTTCTATTTACCCCACCGGGTTGTCAGGAGGGTCTATAGAGGTGCCGGTGGGGAAGCCCTTTGAAAAGTGAAAAGAGACAGATTCGAGGTGGCATTATCGCAAAGTGACGGAGAGGGAAGGCAGGAGTTGGCAAGGAAGGAAAGCAGGGAGCCTTCTGCAAGACTCTCAAAAGACTGCCTTTTGGGTTATGTCTTAGAGGAAAATAGACTTTGAGGAGGCAGTGATATGGCATTTATTGATACTTTGCACTATGCCAGACATTGTGTTTTGCTCACTCTGCAATATCTCATTTATTTCTCCAAGTCACCTTATGGGGAGGTTGTAGTATTGTGCCCATTTTGCAGATGAGGAAACAGAGGCCCAGAGACAGTTAGGCAACTTGCCCAGTGTCATATGAGTGGTAAGGGCAGAGCTGGGACTCCAAAGCAGGTCATTGTGGGGTGAAGCCACGCTCTCACCCAAGGCTTCTCATCTGAGAGCCGAGGGGGACCAGGGAGCTCGGCCGCGGAGGAATGGCTGGCTGACACCAAGGCATTCGACTCACAGTCAGGAGACCCACTCCTGCTGCAGCTCAACTGCTTATTAGCCGTGTGACCCGGGCCAAGTCATGCCACCTCTCAGGGCCTCAGTCCCTTCAGCTGCAAAACAGTGATAATAAAACCTGCTCCACCTATTACACGGGGCCATGTGAGAATTCCA